ATGTTTGTTATTGCTTTTTTTTTTTTTTTAACTATACAAAAGAGTAAATAGTCTGGGCTACAACTCCCTTTCAGTTACATCTGTGACTACACGATGTAAGACAGTTTCTATATAAACAACAGAATATCATCTTTTCTTTTTCCTGGGGAAATGTCCTGCTGCACTTTTAGGACCTTGCTGTTTGCTAATTTTCTGTATGGTCAAGTTGCAGGTGGAGACAGCGGGCTATGGCCTTTGAACCGCGGTGGAAGCAAAGGTTTTGAGTCATTTCCCAACTCCAACAAATGGAGAAGACTTTTCAAAGTCGGGTGCTGCTAAGGCAAACTGAGGCAAAACTTCTTATTCCTGGAATGACAACTCAGCTATTTACTATGTTTAGATTCTAAAAAATGGCATTTTACTCTGTTAAGAGGCTTTCAGCTACCACTCCTGAAAGCAGACCAGTTCAGAATAGGAACTAGGCATAAGGAGAACTGAAATGTTGGTTCTACTGTACAGAGCTTTTTCTCAGCCTGTGATCTTGCCTTCTGCCAGGAAAAAGGACATGTAATCACAAAAGCCCCAGAAACAACCATTTCCCATCTCCTGATTGAGAAATGGAACCTCCAGACTCATGCTGGAAAACCATAAAACAAAAAAAAATGCAAATTAGCCTTGCCCTCTGGAAGGAAGTTGAAGGCAACTGCCAAAAGTATTGAAACAAATGCAGTCGGTACTATGGCAGCAATTTTTAAGATCAGACTACGTGTTACACAGCAATATATAGACAGGCAATGAAAGAAGAGCTGTTGCCTTAACCTCAGGATAATGACAGTCATGTGCAACAGAAATTATACAGGAACTTTGTTACGTGGTTTTATGGTTTCAGGGAGATTCCAAGCATGTGGCAACACGTGCAGCCCGCAGCACCAAACGACACCTACTATGCTGTTATCACCTGCAGGGCTGCAGAGAGGGAAAGTGAAACTTCTGGAGATTTTCTAGGATGCATGTAAAATAAGGCTTTTCCTGCAGGTGTCACTTGGCAAGAGAACAGTGACACATTTCATGTGACCTGCTTCAGTCTCAACGTAATCAAAACACCTCATTACACACTTTCAATATTCAAATTACCTGGTACAGACAAGCTGATCCCTTCAGTTGGTGTCACCAAATGAGTCTGAGGAAAAACAGCATGTGCGTTCACACATGTGTGCGTAAGAGCCAGGTGTAGCTGGAAGTGCTGTATCTTCCTTTCCCTGTCAGTAACAGCCTGCCCTCAGGTCTCCCATCGCCCGCAAAGCATCAACCTCTGAGCAGAACAACCTGCCGTGCTAGTCTACGCACCGTTATGAAAAGGAGGGGAGTGAAAAGCCTCCCCCTCTTGCTCCATCTGTGACTGGAAGAGCTTATTTTCACAGTGACACGGTGCTGTCCCCACAGACAGTACCGCTCCGCGTCTCCGCATAGCCGCAGGGTCTGTTTGCTTGCCCAGAGCACTGCAGTTTGCAAGGATAAAGCTAAGATATTACATCAGAAGCTGGCACTTCTTTGCTTCTGTAAGGCCAAACCTTCACACCAGGACTGAACGGTATCGGATACGTAGTCTCACGGTGTTGGTACAGACTTTGCCGCTGCTTTGCTTCACTCGTCGTTTCAACAGTACACCCAGAAGAACTGAGTCCCTTTGAAATACAGGAAGGATTTATTCATTACATTTATTAAAAAATAAATAGAAGTGGCACTGAGGCGAATGTCCTTACATGCCGAGTTTCATGAATCGCGTCTAAGACCCACCTGGTGATTCAACAGGAAGGAAACAGCACTGAAAATGGAAACATTTGAAAACAAATAATAAAGTATCTTTGCTAAATACAGTAACTCGTTACAGTAAGGATTTCTGCTTCTATTACAGCATTAAATCGCTACTTGTGACAAAATTTATGGGGCTGTTTGTTCAACAGAGTATTTATCAAACACTAGTGACTGCTGAAGTAGTCAAATTAACGGCTGGAAGTCTGACCAAAAAAAAAGAAAGCCCAAAAGTAATTTTTTTTTTTCTTGTCCAACTTGACCCGAGTT